AAACTCAAAAATCCTGCAGCTGCTATCCTAGTAAATCATTTGTAAGCTCGCTAGCAAAGCAGATATTCAAGAAAACCGCCTTATTATCCAATTTATCATTCATCCATGCGTACATTTATCTTCTCGATATCTAAAAAAACACAGCCTGATCTATTCATATCACTTTTTTCTCTATGCTATTGCCTCATAAACATCCTACTACCGACTTATTATTCTCAATAAGTTAAATAACCAAATATCCCTTCATGCATTCTAAGTATTTCCAACCTAAATTAGGATCCATAAATTTTAAGCCAATGCACCAACAAGTCCATTTGAATAATTATCCCCTAAAATTCCCATAAATATTTATCTATCCATTAAACATCTAGTATTTCACATCATGCTACCTTTCAAATGAAATCAGCATCCAATCTTTTGCATATCATCCCACACAAAACCCTACACAATTTCTAATGAAATACTCTTTCACTTGCCTTCGTTCTTTATAGTTGGTCGTCTATCCAACTAAGCGTGGAGTAAATACTGGGCATGTGATTCGCGCGCTTATATGCATGTGGCTTTGCGCCTTCCTTCTGGCCAGTCCGTTGGCTGTCTTCTCAACAGTTACCTCATCCTATGCCAAGCTAACCTGTTCCGAGGTCTCTGACAGGACGGCGATTCGGGCCGCCAAGCTCATCTACTCATTGGTTAACATGTTCTTGCAGTATATTTTGCCACTCACTTTGGTCAGCTTGGCCTACACGCATATATGCCTTCGCATCCAAAACCGCATGCAAATACTTTCTTCAACCAATTCAGGGAACACTGCCGTAATGACTTCGGTAGCAAAAGTGCCGAATATATTGACAAAACTGGCCGAGCCTTGGTCTGAATTGGCCAGTCGGTCAGAAATGTCAGTGCATGGGGAAACCAGTGGACATAAAGACCTAAGGGTTAATGAGCCAAGTTGGTTAAGCAAAAACACTGAAAACAGAGGATCAGAAGAGATTAGCAGGAATAAAGCCAGCCACCAGCAGAGCCAAAGAACGAAGGATGTAGGTGTGAAACCAGAAGTAAATATAGGTTTGGAAGGTAACAAAGAGCTGTACTTCAATGCAGTTAATGCGGCTGAATTAGAGAGCAAAGTATCGTCCAGTTTAACTATGCTAGCTGAGGCCAAGTGTGAGGCAGTTGAGCAAGATCCCAGCCGGTTTGCCTATCTGCCCTTGAACCTTGCCATGCCAGGAATCTGGGCCCAAATCAAAGCTAATGAACCATGCCATAATCAGACTTCAATTGAGACACAATTCCACTCCAAGCATAGGAAGCACAACCAGAAACCGCCTAGGAGTGAGAAGGAAAGCTTTTTTGAACCGGTACCAAACGAAATTGGCCAATTGCTGCGCGTCCAGGCCCAGCTTCCTACGTTTGCCAGTCTGTCCAGACGACGCCTGCGAACACCTGCCGAGGTCACTAAGCAGCGCCGAAAATGGAGGACAAGCCTACTCCTAGCAGCAATAGCCATTATCTTTGCCCTCAGCTGGCTGCCTCTCAACATAATCAACGTCTTCTTAGATATCCGAGAGCTCCGTTTTCGGCCACGTGAGTTGCTAAACTGCTCTCGGCAACTGCATCCAGGAGGAGAAATTTCCGACTGTCGCTCTACGTTATTATTTAGCCTACCAAGACGCCAATCGTCAGGAAGGAGAAGCGTTCTGGGGTCGTTAGGACGTCGCAGGTTAGGTCAAACTGAGCAAAGTTTGCTGAAACGGGAGGGACAGAAAGATGACGTTGGACAGTTAATCAGATTAGCTCGACACTTACAGATAGCTGAAACCGATGAATCAATGGATGCTGTATTGACGGAGGGACTACTGCATGATGATGTGGTAGAAGAGGTTTCTACATCAAAGATAGTTAGGGCCTCAAGAGAGGAAGGTCTGACAGCCGAGAAAAACCCAACCGAATCAATAATTGATATAAGATTACCTGTCTCTGTCTATCATGGAGAATTTGCGACGAGGAGCCGGGAAGCGAAGCGCAGAATGCTCTCTGGAGCAAATGTACTGACTATCCAAGCGTTTTGTCTACTTTTTGTTCTCGTTTCGGCCTGTGTCAACCCGTTGATATACGGTTGGCTTAATGAAAACTTTAGGAAATCCTTCCAAAAGCTCCTTTGCTGCCAAAGCCCCGATGCTGGGTTAAGGGAGCGTTCTGTAGCGCCAACTAATGCTAAGGGTAGGTGACATAATTTTTGCTTATTATGCTACGCTAAAATCACCAAAAATACATGTAATAGGCTGAATATAGTACGAACCAACACAAATTCTAAACTCCTTAAGCATAATTATTTTTTTTCTATTTGTAGTCCGTTTCTAAGACAATAACAGATAGTTGATTTTAACGACTATATCATTTTATTGTATAGCCTTGATAATGATGTATACTTTATATGATGAGGAGGAGCAGCTCATATATCAATGTTGCGCATTACTTTTTCTTTGATTTTCTATCTAAGGCAAACATTTTACATGCAGTCTATTCTTGCATGTAGATAAATAAATATCTATTTTATCAAAGTATATTCATAGTATTACACAATTGGTGAGACAATTAAAAAATGTTTAATCCATCATTTTTTGTGTTGAGCTATTTAGGTAGAATAGGGGACTATGGAAGATCGTCGAAAGATCGTGTTGAAGATCGAAGAATATAAAGTATAAAATACTGTCTGCCTTTGACCTGCTGTGCCAACTTAGAGTCTTAAAAAGAATTATTTAATTAATAAAAATACTAGTTAAAACCTGATATATAGTCTTCTAATACATTTATCAATGAACAACTAAATCGCAGTATTAGATACCCAATACCATAAGCTTCTATTTAAAAGCATGATCCTATTTTGGTGGTTATTCACCTAGTTTTAACCTTGATTATTTTAGAGTGAATTTTCCGATGCAAATTAATTCGAGGTTTACCTCAAGTTTATTATTTGAATCTGAGATTTTCGTTTAAAGCAAAGTCGACGAGGTATGAAGACCAGGATGGTGTCTAACAATATACCAAGTTTACGGTCCGACTCTGGAAATCAGCATGCATACTATGGACTCTGAACAAGATGCATTCCTCTAAGTCCTCCTGCTAATATGGCCAAGTTGCG